TAGGAAAATTTATGAAGCCGGGGGCTATGGGAAGATTAGCATCTCTTCAAACCCCTGTAGTCCCAGAATAGCAGTTAGGCAGGGTATATAAAGGCAAAACACCTATCCCGTTTAATAAACTGCAATGTACACGACTCCCATTGCATCCTGTTTTTCCAGACTAGCTTAGCATATGAAAGAAGCTAAAAGAAGTGTTAGTCTACAATAACATCCTGAAACAGGGTGGGAGTACAGAGTTATTGGAAGGCTACAAGGTTAGGCTGGAAAATTACCAAGGCAGGTTGGCATAGGAAGCTGCCAACAGGGCAGGGGGCTATAGAGGACCTGGCCTTACATCAAGATGGCATCACCTACACTTCCCAGGGCAGGGGGTGGGGTGGGGCTGTATAGCAGAATATTGGGGGTAGGCTGGAACACTTACATCCCAGAGGTTTCACCGTGAGGGTGACAAGGGTCAACCAGAAATTAGCCTTCACACTCTGAACGTTTTTATGAACTAGAATTCAGAAGGTTTTGAGAATCCCTGCTCAATAATCTCGCTGACTCTAAGGATCCTAGAGTCCAGCCGTCTGCGTCCTGGTGGCTTCACTCTTACTGCTCCGAGTTGGCCTGTCGGGGTCAGAGCCCTGAGCAGGGGAAGGTCATCTTAGCACCAGAGGCTTCTGACATCCCCCGGCAGATAATTTATCAACTTCGATGGGGCCAGGGGTGGACCCCAAACCCAAATCCCAGTGTGAGAAAAGCCAGTCACTTATTCCCTAAGCACACAAGAGAAAATGTCAAAGAGCAGTTAATTGGCAGCAGAAAAGAAAAACACAGAAAGGGGTTGCAAGATAAACGCAGGGCCCAGTGCTTGATCTCTTTTGAGGCCCAGTGGTTTCGATGTAGCATTGTCAGCGGGTCCCTATTAAAAACAATGGGAAGTGAAAGACACTGATTACAAGAAGAAATGACAGAGGGTGTGCTGTGCCACTTGCATTTCGATGCATATTTATATGCCCATCAGATAGACATATTTACTATAAACACTTGAAAATCCCTAGCGGAGTCACTCGTGTAAATGGCAGAACAATAGTAAGAGATGCTAATTTGACCTTAGTGGACCAGATCAGGTGTCACGGACACTGTACTCACGGTGGCTTGAAACAGAAGTTACCAAGACGGTTAATTAGAGTTTACTGGATCAGGTCAAGAACATCTTAAATGGGAGAGAGAGAAAAATTTTTTAAAAAGGAAGAAGAAATATGAAATTTGGACGCTTTCAAAGCTGACTATTTTATGAGCAGACACAATGTAACAACCCAACTCTGAATTCATCCCTCTTTCAATTAATCTCCTGTTATATCTCCTCAGGGAAAGACAGGGGAGGATTGATTCCCAAGATGTATATCTTTGTAAACAAGTAAAATCAAGAAACTACAGCTATTAGAAAGAGGTGGGGTTATTTTTTTTCATTCATTTGTAATTAAAAACAAATATTTCACAATATATAATTACATATTGTTTTTGTGATTAATCACTATGCTTTAATTATGCTCCATTTGTAACAATGAAAATACATCCTGCATATCAGATATCTACATTATGATTCATAACAGTAGCAAAATTACAGTTATGAAATAGCAATGAAAATAATTTTTTGCCCCATTTCTTGGAAATCTTTCTATTTATCTTTTTTTAAATCATTTTTATTGGGGGCTCATGCAACTATTATCACAATCCATACATACTTCAATTGTATAAAGCACATTTGTATATTCGTTGCCCTCATCATTCTCAAAACATTAGCTCTCCACTTAAGCCCCTGGAATCAGCTCCTCATTTTCCCCTCCCCCCCAGTCTCCCTTCCCTTGATAATTTATAAATTATTATTTTGTCATATCTTACCCTGTCCGACATCTCCCTTCACCCACTTTTCTGTTGTCCGTCCCCAAGGGAGGAGGTTATATGTAGATCCTTGTAATCGGTTCCCCCTTTCCAACCCACCCTCCCTCCATCCTCCGGGTATCACCACTCACACCACTGGTCCTGAGGGGATCATCTGTCCTGGATTCCCCGTGTTTCCAGCTCCTATCTGTACCAGTGTACATGTGGATTTTTTTGTAATCTAGATGAATTGGTACTAGAAATAAAGCTGCTTTCACTATCGTGTTGATATGCAAATGCTTTCACTTTAGCAATGCTGCAGACGGAGCAGTAAATTTAGCAATGAAGAAGGACGTTTATGAACTAGGGGGAAGAACAGGACATTCTGTTCCTGTAAAGACTTAACAGTCTTGGAAACACACAGAGGGCAGTTCTACCTGTCCTATAGAGTCGCTGTGAGTGGGCATCGCCTCAATGGCAGAGTTATTGTTTTTTGATTTGGGGTTGTTGTTTTGCAAACTATGTGTAGAAAACTACAAGAATGTGTGCTCCCTCAAGCTTGGGGCATTCAGGAGTCATGACATCCTACCTCCAAACAGGCTGCAAATCCCCCCTGAGCCAAGATCAGGATTTGGGGGAACCACACAACCACCTGCTACCCAAACACTGAAACTCACAGCCTCTTACCTGTAAGACAGAAATAATCGCGGTGACTAAGTAGCCCTCACTTCAGCTTCTGTAGTCACTGCGACTCAAACAGGACCACGGCACCCCTCTGCCTTTGCGTGACAAATGTGCGTGTCTGCCACAGAGCCAGCAGATCTGCCTGACCCGGACACAAGAGGGGCGCTGGCCGGCACTCCTCATCCACCACCATCAACAGCTGTGCGGCATCGCTGCACGATGCACACTGCGCACAGGCATGCAAATCCACAGCACAGATCCCTCCACCTAGCATTCTGCTCAATGTCCCAGGACTCCCTCACAAATACTTGCCATGTGATTAGAAGATCGGTCAAGTCTGTGGGAAACACGGCATCACCAAGGGCGCCCCGGTCCATTAGGAGTGAGTAAGGAGACCCAGGCCTCCACCCACCACCCCCAGCCCGTTCCCATCAAAGTCACAGAGCACAGATTAAAATGGCCCCTTCTCACTTGGCAGGAGAGATCCTTAGAACAAACAAATAACTTCCCACAATGAAAATAGGGTCTGAAAACTACGGACGCCCAATAGTACTTCTTGCATTCTTGGAAACCAGACTCCCAAACTTGACCACCGCAGGTGCACACATGTACAATTTGGTGGCTATTTTTCTTTTCTCTTCTTTTCCTTTTAAACTCTATCAAGCAGGAAAGGAAAACATACCCAATAGTGAAATGTTCCCCTTTTGAGAACCAAATATAAACGAAACCAACCACCAGCACCAAGCCCGTTGCCAGTCAGCGGATTCAGGCTCACAGAAGCCCTTTAGGACAGCGCAGGGCTGTCCGGGAGGGATTCTCTGGCTGCAGTCCTTATGAAATCAGAGCGCCACCCTGCCTCTCTCAACGGGCTGCAGACTTCAAGCCCCTGACCAGCAGCGAGCACTAACCACTGCACCAGTCGGGCTCTTCAAACAGATTAAAAAGATACAGCAAAGAAATCGGGTCCTATGTTTTGCTTTCACAGATCACTACTCATCAGCGGCACTGCCATTTCAGTCACCAGTAGGTGCCAAACCTGACCTGAACGAGTTCTGGAGAAACTGTGGGACTTTCTCTCTCCAGACGATGAAATACTGAGCCAAGTGTGGGCAAGGGCGATGCTGGAACACAACACGGTCAGGCCACTAAAATCAGTTTTACTTTCCCCAAAGCTACCACTTGGCAATGGCTTCTTTAAAGAAAACACGAGAGTCAGCAGGATCCTAAAATTACTACTACAAAGTCAAAAGCTGTGTAACAAATCAGACAGTGGACTTACTTGTTAGCTTGTTGTGACTGAGCACCAGTTGGGTGAGATGGGATAAAGAGACTGTAAAAGAAGAAAACAGAGAGAGGTCACAGTCAGTGATGGACCCAGATCATCGCTCCGCAATACCTCCCCGCCCAACTGCTGAATCCGTGTCCTGGGTGGACGTGCTACTGCTCACAAAATAAGAGAAGCAAGGAGTCCTATACCACTACCTGTTAGACGTTCAAACGAATTAAGACAGGTCATGGAATTAACAGTGCAATTCACACAATTCAAGTTTGAACTCATGAGATCAATGTCAGGAGATTAAACATCACAAAGCCAGTTAGCGTCATGGGGCTCCTTTACCCTCACTTTAGTTACCCGACTCAAGAGTCTGTTGGAAAAACGGGCCATGAGTGGAGAAAGCATGATGTCTTCCCCCGGGCCTTAAAAACAAGACAAAACAAAACCCTCATAAAGGCAGAAATATCATCCAACAGGAGGTGGCAAGCACACTGTTTTATCTGTCCACTATCAGCCCAGGAATTTCCCACACTTTATCAGCTGATCAAAGTTACACTTCTCCCCAATCTCCCTTCAACATATATTGGTTGACTTGGAAAAATCACATGCATATTCCTTGCCAGTTTCAAATATTACTGTGGAGATTTAGTCTGCCGAACAGCATTACAGTGAACCCTCGTTTATCGGGTTAATGGTTCTAGACCCTACTGTGATAAATGAAATTCCGCGAAGTAGGATTCCTTATTTGTAAATCAAATATTTTCGTAGTTAGAGCATAGAGGACATGAAAAAAC